ACCTTTCTCGCCAGATACAAGATAGCACAACGGAAGGCTTAGATACCAATGATCCGATCAATCAAGCTGCCATGCAGACCAAACATGCATCATCATCATTCCATGGTGTGAAGGGGGCTGACGCTCATACGGGAAGAATGCATCAGTCCCTGATCATGCACAGACGAAGGAGGGGGGGGATTAGACGAAGGGGAGGGGAAGATGGAAATGTCGTCAACGCCAAGTCTTCGATACAGTCCCAAATAATCCCTCGCCAAAGGTCTGAATCCGGATGCTGAGTCTGAACCCCAATGTCGTCAAATCCCAATGTCGCCCATCTCTCTCTCTCTCTCTCTCTCTCTCTCTCTCTCTCTCTCTCTCTCTCGCTCTCTCGTAGCCGGTAGATACAGAGAAGTCAGGGGGCGAGAGGGTGAGGAAAAGATGGTGGACTTAGAGGAGGAAGAAGAACTCAATCTCTCTCTCTCTCTCTCTCTCTCTCTCTCTCTCTCTCTCTCTCTGATATTAACCTGTGAAGGTGGCGCCTTGCTGCAGGTACCTCGAAGACGAAGCTGGAGCTATGGCGCCGCAGGTGAGTATCCCTGGCCTCTGCCAACCATATCTCTCTCTCTCTCTCCTACTAGCGCCCAGCGCTGAATACTGCTATCGCTACTCCTCCTCCGGAGTGCCGCTGCCGAGTCCTGAGGACTACCTCCTGCCCTCTGCACGAGAAGTGCCTGGGAACTGCCTGCAGCCTACAGGGCGGGTCAGCATTATATAGTGTTGGCCCGTCCGAGAGGCTGCTCCTGCCTATGCCAAAACGTGCCAGACCCTGGGGTTGACGCTCCACAAAATAGGCCATAGTGGCCTGAGCTAAAACCCCGGTCTGGTACCTGAGTTTCATGGTAGGTCAATCTTTCGAGGGCCTGAAAATGGCCTGTCGTTTTCAGGCTGGAAGCCAAAAGGACGCAGGGCCTGTAGGCCCTCGTTTCAGGATTTTAGGCTGAAAACGAAACAGGCCCTACTGACCCTTAGTCTACCAGGTCGGGCTCTGCTGGGCCCGTGTGGTACGGAGTATGCCACACCCGTACTGCAGTGCGGTACTTAGCGCTGCAGTTCCGGCGCTGCGCTGAACTCAGAATAGCGCAGTGCGGTCGCTCCTCAATGCCGCTACTCCCTACCTGCAGGAATGGCCGCTGGACCGGCCCAAGTACCATCAGGCGGCCGGTCTGCCTCAATGCTGGCCTCCTACGCCGTGGGCTGAACCGTCGAAATGACCGTTCACCGGCGGGCGGCAGCCTCAAGAGCGCCGCCAGGCCCAAACGGTCATGTCGTTTGGGCCAACCCTGGTCTGCTAGGTGCTGAGGCCCCAACCGGTGGCCTAACAGGGCCTACCAGGAGAAAGGTCTGGCCTTGGCAAGGCCAGCCTGGGTACCCCCTGAACTGGTATGTCGGGCCTGTGAAGGCTCCTGTGGAATCGCAGAATGTAACAAGCATGGTGTGAGTACATGACGTATATTTGGACTTACCAGTGGAAGAGGAACAGCACTGATGCTCCCCATAATGGACAAGGAGCCAGAACCATTAGGTTCTGCTTTATGGGGGGAAAAAAGAAGAAGAGAAGAAAGTTTCTCACTTGTTATGGGCGCGACCGTGAAGCCCGCGCTGGTGCTTTAAACCACCAGTCCTTGGCCCAGCTATCGATGCCGCGCCTGAAAACGGGCTCTGCGCCATTTTGCGCCTACCCACCAGCGCAACAAAAAAAACTTGTTTTGGCTGGCGGCGCCAGCCTTTGAGGGCCAGTACCCTGAGCCTCCGGAAGTTGCGGGGTGTTAACGGCAACGCCCTGCGGCCGATGTATGGGCCAAATACTGGTGGTTTGGTAGGCCAGCAGATACCAGGGTTTGCAGTATTTTTTTATTGGCAGAGAAGAGGAATATCACCATAGAAGGCCGGCTGCAATTTTTTGATTCCTGAAGTGGTCGGTCCTTAGTGGGGTTGGAGCTTGCTGGTTGACTTAGGCCAGTCTGTTTGGTCTTAGATTCATTTGATTGTTTCTAGTTCTGTGCACTTTAACAGCAAGGTTTAAGTAGGTTTGGCTCTTTCCCTAAATTTAGTAAAGTTTTTTTCAGTAGAGAAACGAGGCAAGACACTTTGTTCGGACTTACTGAGAAGTTTAGTAATGATGTGGTTGGGCTATGGCCCACAACCTTTTCTGTGCTTCAAGATGTTTTTTTTTCTGGACCGCAAAACCAATACAGCAATCAATCCTCGATAACTCGAGTGCTCCCTGAGAGAGAGAATTCGGCTTTGGCTGTCACTTCCTGGCCTTCTCTTACCTTTAAGAAAGCACCACGTGTCTTCATCAAATGCCACAACACTCCATGTGTTCCAACACCAGTCGTCCCGCATCATTGTCGGGGCTTCTCAGCGCATATGCTCCCACCCTCCCTGTCTGATCTTCTTCATACGTTTGTCATTTTCCTTCACCGTCCTCCTCTTTCTTCACTCTCCTCTCCTCTCCTTCAAACTCGCCCTCTTCTCATCAAACGCAAGCTGGCCGTCCTGACCATCAGCATCATTGTCTTTCCAGATTCGAGCCCCACCTAGTTCTTACTTTCCAATCAATTTCAATCAATTGAAAATCGAAACGACTGGCATTCCTTGCCAGCTAGAAACGTCGTCAGCTGCTCAAGAAGTAGAGCAAAATCCCGATCCTCTCTTTCTCCACATCGTCTGCTCAGTGTCAAGATATCAAATGCAGAACCACATCCACCTCGCATCATCCTCCCATAACAGCGCCCACTGATCACCTTCCTTCTCATCAGCCCTCTATCAGCATCCCCCAACCCGCCTCTCATCAGCATGAGGTGTCATAACACGCGGCCTTTGGACAGGGCCCCAACTCCATCACTCGAATTCTGTATCAGCTGCCCCATTCATCCCGTCGCGCAGTGGACACTCTTGCCTCCTCCTTCCCCAGCCAACCCCCCCCCCCCCCCCCCCCCCCCCGGGCAAGGCCCCTCCCTAGGGTACAAACCCATAAATGGTTCCATCCACAGAATGAATGAATACTCTCAACGGACTTGTCCTCCTCCGTCACTTCTCATTGCCACCTCCCACCCTCCCCGACCCCTCCCCTTTGCAATCAGTCTCGTCAGGATCCCCACCCCATTACTGTGCGCATGACGGGTATCACAGATAGCCCTCAGAAAAGAAAGCGCCAATAATTCCTTCCTTCCTCGAAGTTCTATATCCGTCGCCCCATCCATTCAAATCACAGCAGGCAGATGGTGCCCCTCTCTCTATTGCCCCTTCCCTTCCTTCTTTTTCATCAGCCCTCTATCAGCATCCCCCAACCCTCCTCTCATCTGCATGAGGTGTCATAACACGCGGCCTTCGGACAGGGCCCCAACTCCATCACTCAAATTCTGTATCAGCTACCCCATTCATCCCGTCGCGCAGCGGACACTCTTGCCTCCTCCCTCCCCAGCCACCTCCCCCCCAACCGGCCAAGGCCCCTCTTCAACTCCCTCCCTAGGCTACGAACCCATAAATGGTTCCATCCACAGAATGAATGAATACTCTCAACGGACTTGTCCTTCGCCGTCACGACTTCTCGTCGCCACCACCCACCCTCCCACCGTCCCTTCCTCGAATTTCTATACCCGTCGCCCCATCCATTCAAATCGCAGCAGGCAGGCGTTGGCCCTCTCTATCGCCCCTCCCCCTCTCCCCTCTCTAATCCATCTCCATCTCCATCCCGATCCCGTCTCGACGCTGCATAACTCATCCAACCGGCGCACATGTACATAGATGATACGATAATTTTCACCTTGTTGCTATCAAGACAGACATTACCATCAACGGCGCCATCTCCTCTTCCGCTGGCCTGTCACCTCCAAGCCCCTTTCTGACTCCTGACAGCTCACTGACCTGCCATCCCCCACCCTCCCTCCGGCCACCTCAGGATCGAACAAGGGCCTCCCGTCCGACTGTTTGTCCACACCAAACAAAGACCCCATCTCCCGTTCAATTCAAGTCTGTGCAGCGGCCAGCTGTAGACGAGCGAGATCCCCCTTTCGAGATCCCCCCGAACATGCACGGCCTACTCTATAAAGGGTGAGGGCTTCTGGGAAAGAATGAATTAAAAACGACGAAAAAAAAATCAGACACACAGTATGGGTTCATCGCAGAAGAGAACATGCAGACACGTTTACACGCAACACCCCATTCTCTCCACTACCAATCACATCAGCGATCGTCATAATCATCACAATTATCAGCACCACCCGCAAGAGACATACGTAACCCCTTCTGACATATACGTTCAAACAACTTCGGCACGTTTTCTTTTTCTCAATAGGCGAGCGAACGCCAAGCTGAACATCACTGCATTGCCTCTGTGATGACAGGGGAACGTGTCGATATCAATTCGCCTAACTACGAAACAGCGCCGCATCTGTTCGTGGTTAACTGTTCAAAGGGTATTATACACAGCAACATCTCCTCCAATAAAGGAGTAATCTTTTGTAGTACACTTAAGAATAGGAACAACTAAAGGCCGTACGCTCGCTAGCTAAAGAAAGACCGATCACTACAATGATATTTTTTTCTTCTTTTTTCTAGCATCGATGTAGTTTCTGGCATTGTGGTTGGTTGTGCTTGAGCGCGTGAGAAACCCAGTCCTCACTAACGTCTCCTCCTACAAAGAAGTGGAATCATATCAGCAATTATCAGCAGCAAATAACAATGAACAGCAATGCTCCTCCTCCTCATCATCATCATCAATCGTCATCCTCATGACCATAATCATCATCATCATCAATCGTCATCCTCATGACCATCATCATCATCATCATCATCAATCGTCATCCTCATGACCATCATCATCATCTCCGCTAAAGACATATCGGGATCAACCAACTACCCCGTTGAACATATCGAGCAATTGCGGCACGTTTCTGTCAATCTTTGTTTCCTGCCTTCCGCTTACCTCTGTGTTGACATGCAACAAAATGTCGACCTCAGCTCCCCCCAATGACGAGAACGCACCGCATTTGCTCAAGGTTACATGTTTCAAGACAGTTTATACACAACAACAGCATTTCCTCCAATGAAGAAATCGCGAAGTTGTCATCACGTGTAAAAGTCACGTGTGAGAACCTTATGGTGTATACGAAGCCAAATTACACATTAGATTTCCTCGGATACCGCCAACTATCATGAACACCACTTTCACAATCAAGAACTGACCGGACGAGTAGAGCAGCATTATCGCGGCCACTACCGCCAACCATCATGATCATGTTCAACTTTCTAGCTGTCTGTGTTTTTCCCAATCAAAAGTCACGAAAATACCTCTCTCCCATCATCACATCCGTCATCACCGGTACCATTACGTTTTTCGCCGCTCGTCTCCCGGCGCATTGGCCCTCCCACCACCACCACCTCTCTCTTGCGACCTATCAACCCTCCGAAATCCGTCGCTAACACTAACTAAAAACTACTGAATTGGCACTCGCCGACCGCGCGAGACGCTAATCAATCAGAAAAACGTGATAGATCCTATCAAGACAACTCCACAACCATTATGTACAACGGGAGGGCAAGACGAAGTAGTGAAGAGGAGAAAGTAGCAAACAATCAAGGCAAACCTACTACTGGAATAGTCTTCTAATAGTGCGGCGAATCGCTACGCATCCACGCGCGCAAACGAGTATCAAGAAGAAGCACCTGCATGAACATCAACAAGCTCACAAACGCGCACATTTCCCGATGCGTTTCGCCTGGCTGCTGCGCACAAGGACTTGCGCATGAACGGGCCCTCCACCAACCCCAAAACCCACCGCACTAGCCTCCCTGATAAGCACACACCATACATACGCTTGGGCGCGCACACTACCGGTATTTGACATCTACGTTTCGGACACAGGAAGAAACCCGTGTCAGTGACCGGCTGCCATTCATGAAAAGACCAGCTAGCACATGACCATCGACAGCATCCCGTTGACCGTCGACAAAAGACATTGGGAAATCGGACCTCCTCTACTCTTCCCTCCTAGATGCTCGATACACAGTCTCACGGCGAAGCTCTGTACCTAGTCGCGCACGCAAGTTCAGACCTAACGCCGTAAATGACATAGCCAAACTTCAGGGCCTCGCTGCACCACTCGCCAAAGGTGAAAAACGGCGGCAGATATAATGAGCCAACTCCTGACAGAAACACATGCGCTCGCTATAGACCACATTAGGCGAGTGGTGCAGCGAGGCCCTGGTCCTCAATTCCCACCCGCCGTCGTTTACCTCGAATGAGACCCAAAACGGGAAGCCGGACGAGCGGTGAACGACCCAAATTGACGAGACAATCCCGCTAGTTGCCTGTCAGAACAATCAATCGTTTCCGCTCCATCAACTCGTACATCTCCCAGCCTCGCTGTTGACCCTCTCGTCACCACAATTACACAAATTTACAATCAAATACACCAACTCGTACTTCTCCGTGCATCGAGACCTCAACTCCCCGTACACAGCACTCTCACGCGAGTATAGCTCCTCACATCGCCACTCTCTCTCTCTCTCTCTCTCTCTCTCTCTCTCTCTCTCTCTCTCTCTCTCTCTCTCTCTCTCTCTCTCTC